CTCTTTCCCTTTCCCTCTCGGCCTCCAGCATTGCTCTGTCAACAGCCATTCTGTCTTTCTGTCTTTCCCTTTCTCTCTCCATTTCCTCCTCTATCTTCCTGAGACGATCTTTTTCCAACTCTCTTTCTCTTCTTATCCTCTCCACATCTTTCTCCACTGAGGCAGAAGTTTCATCAAGACCTTTCTCTTTGCTTTTATTGGAATGTGCTACATGAGCGTGAGCCCTTTGAGAAATTTTCTGGATATTTACCACCTCTTGCACTGTAGAAGGTTCATCAGCAACTCTGTTCCTTCTGTAATTGCCACTCTGGTCAGCTTGGCTTGATGATATTTGGTCCCTGCTTTCTTCAGGGTTTGGTGCAGCATTCGCATGCTGTTTGGTCGTTCCCCTCTCATGCCATTCACGAGCAATTTTCCTCTCTTGACTTTGAGTATCAAATTCCATTTGAGAGGCTGACTTAGTTTTCTCAGTGCATGTCTGTTCACTACTAAAACTAAGCTCATCGGCTTTTGTTGCAGTGCAAGCCACCTTTCCTGACTGTATTCCTGAAGGCTCTGCTTCTCCTCGGAACATTATAGAAGCTCCTTTTTTCCCATCGTCCTTTAAATTTTCCACCCATACCTCTTCCAATTTCTTTTCATCAACGTTGCAGTCAGTTCCTGTCCTTCCAATTTCTTGGTCAGCAATAGGTTCTTGACATACCTGCAGTTTTCCAACATTTTCTTCATGTATGAAGGATGAGTGAGCTGCCAGAAGATTTTTATCACTCTCTGTTTTCCATGCCTCATTGTTTTCTTTTGCAAAATTCATGTATATCCCTTCTCCGTTACCTTCCATTTGTTCCAAAGCTTTGTCCAATCCCTTGTCTTTTCCATTCTTGTCAGCATCTTTGAGTATCCTCTCAGATTGCTTGGAATGATCATCCTCACATGATATATCCACAATTCCTTCCCTGTCAAATGTTTGGTCAGCTGGGCTCTCAATCTCTTTCTTCCTCTGGTTCTCATTTCCACTATTCATTTCTAGCTCTGAAGCTGGTTTCAGAACTTCCTGAACCCCTATGCTAGAACCCACATCTTTTAGTCTATTTCCTTTTCTATACCCATCACAAGTCCCACTGATTTCCTCCTTACCTTGACCTCTTTTACATGCTTCATTTTCCCCCCGCTCAAAAGCCATTTTAGTTCTTTTCTCATTCATTTCCAGTTCAAAGTACTGTTTAAGTCCCTTTTCATTCTCCAGCTGCTCAAAAGCAGGCTTTAAACCCTCATCATTTACTTCCAATTTAAAAGAACCTTTGAAGCTTTTCTCAATTTCTTCGTTTTCACATGCCTCTTGCAGTCCCTTCTTGTCCTCAATTTGTTTAGCATGTTCAAGGATGATTACATTTTCTCTTTTGCAAGTCATATTTACCTCAGGGTTATCCAGATTAAAGACCTCATTTGATCGTTCAAATTTTTCCAACTTCACATAATCTTTGACCCTTTGCTCACCCTGTGCAGCTCCAACTCCAAGAGCATAAGCATCTCTTTGAATTTTTCCATTTTCTTTCATCTTCTGAGACTGCTTGATCCTTTTCATACTCAGTTGTTTCTGTTCATCCTCTTTTAGTTTTTTCTCATTTTCCATATGCTTTGTCTTCCACTGAACTTCACTAAGCATTTGTCTATCAACCTCTTTCGATTTCTCACTCTCCACTCGTTTAAGATCCTTGCGTTGTGTCTCAGACATGTCTTTTAAGCTTCCTGATTGATCAGCTTTAGTTACTTTCTTTTCAGTTTTCCCATGCAGGCGGGCCATCTTTGCCTTCTCACTCTTTTCTGGCTCAAATATTTCGGCCATTTCGTCGTTCTTCACATGCTCTCTCTGCCTGAATTCCTCATTAGATGATTTAGATTTCCTAATGTTCTTTCCCTGTTCGTAGGCCCCATTTCCTGCTTTAGATTTCTTCTTGCATTCCTCCAGCTGATAACCTTCTACAATTTCTTTAACCTTTTTGTATTCTTCTTGAATGTTAAATGCTTCTCTTTCTTTCTTGCCACACTCATGTGTCCTGGTATCTTGTACCAAACTCTTAGTATGATTATGATTTATGGACGGAATTAACTTCCCAGATTCTTCTGTTCCCACCAATTCAAAAAATTCAGTTGCTTCTTTCCACAGCCCAACTCCAGTACTTCTATCTGATTCTTGAGATGACCTAGATTCCTTGATGTGCTTTTCTTCAAACACGTTTAGAAGTCTTTCGCCCTCAAACAATTCCAGAGTTTCTGGTGCAGCCTTCGTAGTTTTTTGCGTTTCATCTGTTGCAGAAATTTTCTTTTTTCCAATTCTCTGATCACAAGTTGCCTTCATTTCCTCATCATTCAAACCATTAAATTTTGTTATATTCACATTCCTCTTTGCATCATTATTATTTACATCATAAGTTGAATTTACATTGCTTTCGAAAGCCCCCTTCTTTCTCTCCTTCAATTCTTTGGAACTCCTGAGTTTTGCTTCAGGTCTATGCATGACTTCTTTGATAGCAGCAGCAGGTGTATTCGTATCAACCTCCACATCAAGGAAAGGTGGTGAAGTGTCACCTACAGTCTCATCAGAATCAACCTTCTCATCATTTGAATGAAATCCACTAGTGTACCCCTGTTTTGCATCTAACACAGGGGGTGCCCGGGAAGGGGGTGGCACATGAGAGGGTAGAGTTCTGAGGCTGATGTCGGATACAGTAACAAACATCTCACTGGAATGAGAACCATTTTTGTTGCAACCATCATGCAGATCAAGATCACTACCAAAAACCTGTTCACCATGTGACACCGCCTTTCTCGGATTGTTTCTCTTTGCCTGGCTTGCATTAAATTCCATATCAAGGTCAACATCATCAACGACCTGTAAGGAAGGATCAGTCCAATGAAAGCGTGTGGTTTCATCAAATACATGAGTGACTTCAGGAGCAGCAGGCAGCTGACTTATATGACTTTTTGCCTTTGACATATCTTCATTACTTGTATCATTGACCTTATGATATGAAATGTTGAACTCTGTACTTCCATCAAAAGCCCGCAAATGATCTCCACTTGATATGCCTAGATTATTTCCAAAATGATCTAACTCTTCAGAGAATGAATCGGTTTCCACCGGTGTCCTACCAATGGTGAAAGAACAAGATTATAATCATTGCAATATGCAACTCCAATTTCAGTAAATTAGTATATAAAATAGAAAGAAAAGCTCAAAATAGGCATCAAGAAAATAAAATCACGCAACAAAAAATTTATAAAACACGCACAAAAATATTGAAAAGCAGACAAAAAGCATTTGGCATATGCAGCAAGTCCATATAGCATATATCTGAAAATCCAAAGAATTCGCCACGTAATTGACATAACCATAGTTACCACCCCTGTTTTAAAGAGGACTAAGGTAAAAAGCTTCGAAAAAAACAAAATACAGCGTCTTCCATTTTTCTGTAAAAGAGCAACGAAAATTCTCAGAGAAATAACTCATTGAATATTTGAATCGAACCATACTCTGGCTCCTATGAAACAACCAAAAACAGAACCATAGCTCCCGTTGCTTCTGATAAAAGCGTCGCTTCATTTCCACTATCCCAAAATCCTCAACCTAAACGACGAAACTAAAATCACACACTAACACGAAACTACAGAAACTCATTACCTTGAGTTTCCACCGCAAACTAAAATCACACACTAACGGATCATGCATTCCACACACTAACGGATCATGCATTCCACACAACACTCATAACAAAACCATGAAACATTAAGACGACGATCGCATTCATACATACCAGGCTTCTTCTTCATCCTCCTCTTCTTCGGAGGCACCGTGGCGAAACAAGTCCTCGTAGGAGAGCCAAAAGTCGAGGCCGTCGAAGCCGCGGAAAATCTCGGAGTAGTCGCAAGCGGCGTTCCGGAAGTCGAAGAAGACCTCGCCGGCGTCGAGCGCCGGAAGATCCAGCAGCGGAATGGCGGAGGCGCGCGGCGCGTGGAAGCTGGCGAAAATCTCGCCGTAGTCCTCGAAGCGCGGCGAGAGGGAGTGGCCGGCGGCGAACTTCGGCGCGGCGCCGTATACGTGGTCGTAGAGAGTTTCGGCGGCGTTTCCTGTGCCGTTGGTGATTTTCTTGGAAAGCGTGACGGGAGCCTTGTTTGGGTGCCGAGAATGCGCCACGCTTTCCATGAGGAACGTTGTTCGTATTGGTTTTCTCTCTCTCTCTCTCTCTTTATGGTTCGTGTTTTTGCGCTTTTTTTCACTTTCTCTCTCTTCCTCGTTCGGGCTCAGAGTGAGTGCAGGCACTGTTCGGCGTCAGAGGAGGACGACGAAACCATGAAATTGAAAACGAATGGAAAAAAGGTGGTGACGTGAAATGACCAAACAGGGCCCTTTTATTTATTCAAACCTGAAAATACTGCCTGCACCTTATTAAATTGCATATTATTTTATATATAATAAATAAATAAAAAGACTGTTATATATACTAGAAGTATCGAGTCACTTCGTACCTCTAATAATTATTTAGAAAAATATTAAAAATTTACAAGTAATTATTTTTAAAAAAATATAATTTTTTTTTATTTTAAAAGGTATAATAATCTATTAAAAAGTAGATATTAAAGAGATAGTTACCAAAATATATCTCCTTTATTATAAATATAGATTTGACTTTAAAATTATATATGTAATAGTAAAATTCTTGATAGATATAATATTATCATTTTAATTAGGTTTGAATATACGATTGTGATAAATATTTAGATATTTTTATCTATACTTGTTATAAAGGAGATACCGGGTATATAATTACTTTTAATTTTTACTTTTTAATAGATCATTATATCTCTTAGATGTAAAATAAAAAATTTTATATTTTATCCGAATAATTACATTACACACAACTTTCTAGTATTCTGTGTGTTTATAACTATTAGAAGGACGAAGTGTCTCGACCTCTCTAATATTTATAGTAACGTTATTTAATTTAAAAAATATTTTAAATGAAAAATATATGTAACTTTGAACTAAGAAAAAATATAGTGGAGTTTTAGTTAAAGATTGGACTAAAATTAAGAAATGAAATATTAAGAGGATAAATTTGAGAAATAATGTGAGAGATGAAATTGGGAAAAGAGAATAAGGGAGCAGTTAACTTAGAATAAGAAGTGATGCGATGTTGCATCCGCAGGTATTTTATTTTCTTTGGTCTCAAAATTTAAACAAAGTGGTTGATTAATCGAACGGAATGATTAAAATAAGGAAATAAAAGGTGTTGGCGTTAACAACGCGGGAAAGATGAAGAGTTGTTAAGGTTGGCGTTAGCAAGATGGAGACATGCTTGCTACTTTAACGCCTAAAAGTTTCTCTAACGTCCTACACAAATACTATATCTTTTTAATTAATTAATTAAAACGAAGAATAAAGTGATTTTAATTTTATTTTCTATTTTCTTTACTTTAAACGTTAATTTCCGTCACTTTTGTTTAAAGCCATGTGTACCAGTACATAATTAAAATGATTTAAAAACCTTAATGTTGCCATTTCACTTTTGATTTAATGCAGAAATTTATAGCACACGTTGAAACATAAAAAGACACATGATTTCATGAGAAGGAAGAGCCATGATGTAGCTTCATAAAAATGAAGAATGCGTCAAAAATTTAATATATAAATTAAAATTATTAAGAAGTAACTCAAGTGGCAAGTAAAACATTCAATTGCATTTATGGTTAAAGAAAATGATTTGGAACATTGAAAATCGTCACATTGGTTAAAATAACTTTAATTAAAAATTGTATTTTATCAAAAAATTAATCTAATTTTATTATAAAACATTTAAACATAAATGACATATAGGTAAATTATAATTAAGTTACACCAATCTCTTATTTATGGATTGATTAATGTGATTATAGGTATATTTTGGTTTGGTGGGAATGTGGGGGACCTAGTGTTTGCTACCAAACAAAACCGAGACCGTGGCATTTTATTTTGGAGCATGGAGACAAAAGTGACGCATCGATACAACGTAGGTAGGACTGAGATTTGTTATGTATAAACTAATCTCACTTGAAAGTTCGTTAGTACCATGATGCATGGCACGAATTTTTATTTTATTTTTTCTATTTCTTTTCAGAATTAACAATAAGGTTATTATTTCCATTTTTAAATTTAAAAAAGAAAACTCGTATACTTTGAAATAAACACATTCAAGGTCCACGTACATTTGGACATTTGGTCGAAATTTCCGTTCACACTAATTATAACTCGAGTTGGATTACCATTTTCTTTTAATAGATATATACATTTTATTATGAAGCTTTGTAGAAATCGCTAGTGTTTTATAGTTTTGTCTTACAAATAGAGGAAATTATAAAGAAAATAACAAAGTCCAAATTTAAAAACTATATATATTATTTCAATTCTTAATATTAGATTAACTATAGTAATTTAATCTTTTTTAGTCTAACATTTTCCTAGCAACAGAGACAGGAATAAATGATAGGGAGGAAGAATTATAAAATAAATAAATAAAGAGTAAAGTTCATCTAATAAAATGATAAACATTTTCTATATTGTGAATTTAGAGGGGATAATAGGATGAAAAAATAGATTAAACTTAATTATCTTCACCAATGTGCCTCGCAGCAACATCCTTTCATGAGACCTAATAATAACACATCCTTTGTCACTTAAGAACCCTAATCCACCACGAGAAAAATAATAATAAAATTTATCTTCATCTGTTTCATTAGCATGTCAACAAAGAGAGAAAGAAACTTTACAATTAAGAACTATTTATTTTTTCCTCCCAAATTATTGTTGAGTAACATTATTATTCATAAAACTAAACACATCACTATCATGTAGATTTAATAAATTCATGTCACTTGAAAACTGCATTACAAAGGAATTAATGATAAAAGACTAAAAAATGTAAGTATAGAACTAATAAAAGTCTATTTTAAACTATTTCAAAACAAAAATAATGAATTATATATATAAAAGATAATATTAAAAAATATATACTTAAACATTTTCTCAACAAAAATATAGAAATATAATTATCTTCATGACAAAAATTATATAAAAAAAAAAGTAGAATATTTGTTTAAAAATAAGAAAAATATTTATATTTTTACAATAAATGTTATAAAAGAAGAATAAAATATTTTGTTAATAAATAAAATTTGAACGTCATTACCTCTACAACTAAATTTTTAAATATAAATAAATAAATTATCACAACATTTTTTTCTATCTATAGTTTATATAGTATTTGAAAGTTGATAATTAAGAATTAATATTTATTCACAAAGTGCAAATTATCACAACATTTTAATTTTTTATTAAAAAATTATAATATTAAAAACAAAATTAAGGGAGGACAAAGCTCCAAATGTATATAATCCACCTTTTGTCCTTTTCTAATCTAATTTTTTTAAAAATAAAAAGAAACACATTCAAAACTATTTTGTAGAAATATTTTTGTCATCTTTAATATTTTTCATAATAAAATGATTATTTATACTTACACGTCGTTGGTAAAATTTTGTTAAAGTACATCTTCACAAGAAAATTACTTACGATTCCTCAAAATATCCTATGTGTGGATTCCTTGCACTCAAGGAATTCTTGCATCCATGGATTCAACTAATTGAAGCAATTGGATGAAAATCAAACAATTTATATATATGGGTGGATGTATATAAATGCATGAACACATTTTTATTACTAAAAAGTAACATTACGAGTGAACTATTATCTAATTCGAATCGTTACCTAATTTGATTTTTATGTATAAAAAAATGTTCTCTCAAGACAATATTAAAAAAAAAAAAATGGTGACGATGGAGTGGATTACTCGAGATTCTATCCTACGATAAGAATGAAACGTTTCTCCTAATTTAGAATATTTTTCTTACCAACTCAATCACTCATTGGCTATGTTCTATGCTACGTAGGGTTTATTTTATCTACTAAACACTATGGCACTACAAGGTTCAAATGTTGAGTTGAGGCCATGATCATTGACATTGGCGTTGGAAATAATTAATATATCAGTGAACTTTTAGGTGTATTGTAAATTTAATTTCACTAGATTTCGATAACCTCAAAGTGAAGCAAAGGGTTAAAATGAGGGATGTGACGTTTACAGTTCAGAAAAAACGAATTTAGATTCCAGTTTGCTTCCGTGTGAGATATACATTCCAAAAATTTAACTCTTACCGATAACTTTCATTTAAACGAAACTCTTGATGTTTGGTTAATTTTAGAAAATTAACTTTTCCGTTAAGACAAACGACAGTTAACCAAAATGTTATTTTCAGCCCATTATTATAGTTGCAATGAATTTCAAGTGAGGGACAACGAAATGACAAAATAATGGCATAAATATGTACAGAAGTACAGTCCAAAAAATGCACCTAAATGCATCATATATATATATATATATATATATAGAGAAAGGAGGGTTCAAACGACACCGGTGTAATTTTTATTAAGTATTATATCGTTCAATAATTTTATATTAAATGTGAATTTTATAAATTTAACTGTTAAATTAAAATTTTTTTACTCTTAGATCATATATATACAAAATTTTATCTTAACCCTGGATGATTTGATACTTCATTTTTATAATTCATATTTTATTATATTTTGAAATGTATATATTACGTCAATTTTGTTTTATAAAAATGAAGTATCGAATCATCTTAGGTTAATATAAAATTTTGTATATATGATTTAAGAGATATGAACTTTCAATCTAACGATTAGATTTATAAAATTCACATTTAATATAAAGTTATTGTGCAGTGTAATACTTAGTAAAAGTTACACCGGTGTCGTTTGAACCTCCTCATATATATATATATATATATATATGAAAAATCCGTTTACTTCAGGATTAAGTCTACATAAACTTATTTCATTTAATAACTCATGTTTTACATCAAATTTCAACGATCTAACTGTTAAATTTAAAGTTTTTAATGCATAGATCAAAAATTCGCAAATTTTAAAAAGTTTGAAAACCATTTGATACTTCGTTTCATTAATTCAAATCAATGTATAAAATGATTTTATGATTATCCATCAATTTGAATTAATAAAATGAAATATCAAATAATTTTCATATTTTTTTAAAATTTGTAGACTTGACCTATACATTAAAAACTTTAAATCCAACAATTGAATTATTAAAATTTGGTATAAAATATGAATTATTAAATGAAATAAATCCTGGAATAAACAAATCTCTCCTTTTATATATATATATATATATA